AAAAAAAAAAAAAAAAATTGTGCCAAGATGATAAGAAATCAACCCAAGGAAAAGCTTTGATACCAAATGATAAGGAATCGCTACAAGGGAAGTAAGATTCGGATTACCTTTTTGATCGAATATCTCAAGGCAAGAACACTTGTTTGAGATTCGAATCACTCCACAAGCAAGATTGATCATGTCTAGCTCGAACAATTCTAAACATGCAACCTAAACTATATAGAATTGCAAAGAAACTTAGCAATTGGCTAAAGGAAAAGGTAAGGAAACTTAGCCCTAATGATAAGGAATCACTCCAAGAGAAAGTAAAATTTGAATTACCTTGTTGATCAAATATCTCAAGGCAAGAACACTGATTGAGATTCGAATCACTCCACAAGCAAGGTCGATCATGTCAAGCTTGAATGATTCCAAACATGCAATCTAAACTATATAGAATTGCATAGAAACTTAGCCCTCGGAGGGAAGCAAAAATGCTCCTTTACTACATTTTCCAAGTCTCCTTTACAAATCTTCAATAAAAACTCTCCAAAGGAATCTAAGTCCTCAGTTGCGACTCTACAAAGTATTCAAATGGCCTAGGGAAGTTAACAAGAACCATGAAAAATGCATACGACTCATGGAAAGGGCCTTCAAAGGAGGGAACGAAGACTCTAGTTAATTGGAGTATAGTTTGTAGGCATTGGACTTATAATAATCTAGTGTGAAACAATCGTTCACTGATATACCAAAAGTCCTCAAAAAAAAAAAAAAAAAAAAAAAAAAAAAAAAAAAAAAAAAAAAAAAAAAAAAANAAAAAAAAAAAAAAAAGTGCCCCAAATCAAGGTATATAAATAGAAACTCCATAGAATACTATCCAAACTCTTAAAGCACACTTGCACAAAACACCACTACAGATCCAACAACATGGGAAAAAAACTCTGAATATTCAATAGTCTTAATCCTCCAATGCAAAATGTACTAGACAAAGAATTTAACCGTCCTCAGAACTCTAACCTTCCACAAGGAAGAAAACAAAGAGGGCTTTGGAGAGGGAACCCACAGAAGAAGGGGAAAAAAAAACCCAAAAGAAATCCCACCCAAAGAATTGAAGCTTTAAGAACAAGCATCCGAAGACGATTCAAGATGAAAATGGATTACTAGTAATAAATTGGAGACTATTCTAAGGATAAACTAAAGTATAAGGTTATAGTTTTTCAGACAATACTCATCAAACTGATGGTGCTGTATTTGACAAGGATAGAGGTGATGTGAGCAATCTGTAAGATATGACTACTTTCCTTTTGAGAAACTTGTTTTTGTTAGACATTTGCTTTCATTTTATAAACTTTTGAGGGAGCCTATATTCAAAGTTTTTACTAGAATGACTGCATGGAAAAACAAGGACCCTAAGGATGGAAGCCTTAGTTTTGTAACTCCCTAGAGCTGGAGTTTCTTCTTCTTCTTCTTCTTCTTCTTCTTCTTCTTTGTTTTTTCTTTTTTTTTTTTTTTTTTTTTTTTTTTTCATTTANTTTTTTTTTTTTTTTTTTTTTTTTTTTTTTTTTTTTTTTTTGCAATTACTCCCCTTCTGCTATTGTTTTCCTGTAACACCTTTGTTGCTTTGTTTTATTTCCCCTTTCAATTTCATATTATCGATGAAATTTGGTTTCTGATTAATGTTATTTTGATGTGCGTGATGTCTTATTTTCTGGGATATGTCATATCATTATTGCTATGCTGTGTCTCATTTCTATATACATGAATAATATTTAAAACACAATTAAACGTCACAGAAGTACCATATAGAGAGACTACACTTTTGAGTTTCTCCTGTTCTCTAGAGAAAAGGACCTCAAACATGGGCAACGAAATGAAATTGAAATTTCAAGGCCTAAGCAATTGGGTCATTAAGAGTGTTAAAATAATGAAACATTGTTCTACAAATGCAAAAAGAACATCCAACCCAGCAACTACATACGCAGAAAAGATGCAACTAGCTTTGACCTGCTCATGTTTCAACTGGGAGCAAGCCCCTGACAGAAGAATTTCCAAGGCTTCAGAGTACTTTTCTGCAGCCACATATCTGTAACGAGACAAGCAGATGTTCATGCACGTGCAGTTTGATTGACCAAACCCCCATTTTTGCATTATCAATTGAGTGAAGGTCAGTTTTAACAATATTTGAAAAGGCTCAAGTCTATTAGCCTTTGTGATAGATAGTAATTGCAAGTAAGGATGAATCCAGGTTAACTAGAAGCAGTACAGCAGACGTATTGGTAGTATTTGTTATCTACTAATCAGCATTACTATTCTACAAATCAGAGTCACATACCGTGAGTCCGTTTTGCATACTAATTTCAAAGGTTTTTTTTTTAAATCGATCAAAACCATATGAAGATGGTATACTGTACCTTGAACTGACAGATTTATACATTTGTTGAGCCCCGTAGTAGTCACCGTCGTCGATAACGTCATCTATTTTCATAATATGCTGTAATAACAGTTCCAAAGAAGTTAATGCAGCCTAAAATATTTCCTCAACTCAGGGTGGAAAAAGGAAAAGAAAAAATAGACAGATACACAATGTACAGTTTGACTGGAGGACAAGGTTTCTGTTGAATGAACTAAAAGAGTGGTCTCTTTCTTCAGTAATTGCGTTTCTTCTTTCTTTTTAATAATGCGGGAGTACATTACAAAATTCAACTCACATAATCAATGAAACTTTCATTCTTTTGATTCCGAACACGACATCCTCAATGATTCGTGCATCACTTTTCTTCTCTTCCGGTCAGAAATTGATAATAATTTCGAAAACAAAACGTTATGGAATTTCTGAATTTGAGTGAAAACAAATCATAAGAAATAGTAACAAAACGAAACGCTAAAACTGAAATTGGTCTTAAAATTCTAACCAACACTATAATTTCCCATGGAAGGCTCGAATTCGTTCTTAATCAACATAGAAGTGAACAAGAAGAAGGAAAAGGATCCCGAACATTCAATAATTACCTCTTGAACCGGAGGCAGTACAATCCGACTGGATCTCGCGCGGGACATCGTCTTCTGCAACGGGTGCGGACTCATTTTGAATCGAATAATGATCCCAGAAGAAAGTGAGATTTCAGTTTATGATCCTTCAACAAAGAAGAACAAAAGCAGGGATTTCGAATGGAAAAAAATGGAGGTTGCGTTGGGAAGGTTTCTTCGTCTTATGAAATTGAACCCCTTTGTAGAGAAAGCTTATTTTTCATAACACAAGATAGGTTCCTAAAATAGTTTTCCCATTCTCTGCCACCGCAGTAACAAACCTTCTTCTGTTCCTTTGGGACTTTTTAGATTTTTTTTTTAATTCTTTTTTCCTAAATATTCAACTTTTAAAATAATCTCAACACAACCCAATACAAAGTGTATTCTTTTATTATAAACTCATGATCATTCCCTAAATTAACCAATGTGGGACACTTTCATCCAACACTATGCGATTTTAGTTTACCACCTAATATCCGTTTATACAACATTCAACACCTAGTAGACTAATACATATATTTAAAGTTGTGCACGGGAGCAAAGTGTTGTTTTGTTTTGTCTCTCAAGAGTGGTTATGCTACATGTGATCGAATTTCTTATAAAGTTTGAAGATAATGGTAGTGTGAGCCTTTCAAGTTCAAGGAGTTATAGTCCCTTTTGTGGTTGAGCATATTAACGTTTTTCTCGATCTTATGATTTTGATGGTGAAGATAGATCAATGGAGATTTCAATATGGCAAAGTCCTTAAGAAGGTTGTTGAGAGAACATTTTAAACTAAAATACAACGTTTGATGTCGTTTTCTACTAAGTGCTAGGGAACTTTGGGTTGATCAAGTATCTCGTAGAGATGATTAGGTTATAACTCCTAATTGTGAATTAGTCAAGAGGGGTTAGGGTCAACTACTTGGTACATAGTTTAGTTATCATCCAGGGAATTTTCGGAGTCGTAGAGAGTATACTACTAGGTTAGCTTCGGTTGTGCGTAGTGGGGAGCCATAACCTTATATTGTTCTAACTCGAGAGTGGGTGTGAACAGGTAGTTCACTATTCTAGCCTGAAAAGATGAAGTAACAAGTAGTTTATCGTTCCTATTCTCAACTTAAACTCATTAGGGCAATTTTTTTTTTTTTTTTTTTTTTTTTTCTTCTATTCTCATCCGCTTCAACTTTTTCGAAGCTCCCTATTGCATTTCCTAACACCTTGGCCATACTCCTAGAAAAGAAAACTGAAGGTAGGTCATGGAAATGCATCGAAAGACTCACATACTTTAATTCGAGGTCCGATATCTTCTACCTTTTGATTCCTCAAACACAAGGAGCGCCTTATCCAAGCTCCACCGTCCTTCCTCCTCCAAGGTTTTTCTTTGAAGCTCATATCAAAGAAGATGACTACTTCAAATCTGACGAACACAATTGGAAGGTAGCCAAAACAAGGAAGCTACAAGTAATGCAACTATGAAGATGAACGCTGACGGCATGCTTAACACATGCAAGTCGGACGGAAAGTGGTGTTTCCCAACTTATTCATAATTTTAAGTTCGAGATTTTGACAAAAGCAAAATAGAAATTTGGATTATCATGAATACGACGTTTGACCTAAAAAAAAAAATCCAGCTAACAACGCTACACGTGCTTATCGATGATAATCAATACGTTTATAATAAACACCAATAATTAATCAATATTTAAGAAAGGTTGGGGTGCATAAATTTTTATTTGCATTTTTTGTTTTCTAAGGCTAAGATTGTCAAAGTCCACATGGTGGCTGGATTGTTTACAAAATTAAATAAAAATAATGGTTGTGTGGATAATGCTTTGCTTATGATAATAATTATTTACAAAATTAAAAAAAAATTAAATTATATAAATAAAAACTTAATCTTTTAAGTTATCTATTAAATAAAAATTTAAATTTTTTATTTAATAACCATATGATTTTTAAATATTGAATTGATTAGAGACATAAAATAAAAAATTTAAAGGAATCTTATTAAATACTTTAAAACTCAAGACATATAATCAACCCAACTACCATTTTCTAGATGAAAGTAACGTAATCATATTTTATCTAAGTAAATATTTATTTAAAATTATAATTTATTGAAAATCATAAAAAAAAAATTGGTTTAACGAAGGTAAATGCGTGTAAATTAGATCTTCAACGTTTAGAGAACTAAGAAATAAAATAATTTATACACTAAATTATGTCCGGTTCTCAAATTGTCTTTTTCTTTAAAAAAAAGTCGCATCAAGGATAAATGAGACATTTTACGTTCTTATGGACTTCACGACTCTTTATTTGTAATTTGAATTTTAAACTCCCAATTCACATCTTTCCCTTTCGTGTTATACACAAAAGGTTGGTTCATGATGTAAGTTGACTTTGTTATTTTTTTTTAATACATATACTGATTTGGTATATTTTATTTTGATGTTTATATAAAAATATTAACATATTTTATTTTGAGTTGGTCGGGAGACAACCCCTGTATCCAAAGCACCTTATAGAATGGCTCTTGATGAGCTGAAGGAGCTTAAGGAGCAACTACTAGATCTTCTAGATCAAGATTTTATCAGTCCTAGTGTGTCACCTTGAGGAGCACAAGTGTTGTTTGTCAAGATAAAGGACGAGACATTGTTGTTGAGTATCGCTTACAGGGAAATGAATAAGGTGACAGTTATGAATAAGTGTCCTATACCTCATATGGACGACTTGTTTAATCAGCTACAAGGTGCTTCAGTGTTCTCCAAAATTGATTTGAGGTCAAGGCATCATCAATCGAGGATTAGAGAGAATGACATTTCCAAGACGACTTTCAAAAGCCAATATGGTCATTATGAATTTACTGTAATGTCATTCAATTTGACAAACGCCTCAACAGCATTCATGGATCTCATAAGTAGGGTGTTTAAGAACTTCTTTGACACATTTGTAATAGTCTTCATCAATAATATACTAACATATTTCAAGAACGAGGAAGAGCATGAGTCATAACTGTGAAGAGTACTGTCGGTGTTGAGAGCACATCAATTTTATGCAAAGTTCTTTAAGTGCGAGTTATGGTTGTAGGAAGTGACATTTTTAGGACACGTCATGTAAGGAAGAGACATTTCAGTAGATCTAGCTAAGGTCGAGGCAATCATAGATTAACAACAACCTACTTTAGCAATGGAAGTGAGAAGTTTCTTGGGTTTAGTGGGATATTACAAAAGATTCATCCAAAACTTCTCTAAAATATCTTCCGCCCCTCACTAAATTAACAAAGAAAGACATGGTGTTCTCATGGGATGACGTTTGTGAGTAGAATTCTAGGGAACTCAAACACTGACTAGTAACAATGCTAGTACTTGTTGTGCCCGATGGTCCAGGAAACTTTGTGGTATACAATGATGTATTAGGTAAGGGGCTTGGTTGATGTTAATGCAAAATAGCAGAGTTATAGCATATGCCTCAAGACAATGGAAAGAATATAAGAAGTGCTACCCGACACACGATTTAGAATTAGTAGCGCTAGTGTTTACTCTAAAGATATGGTGGTACAACCTGTGGTGAGTGCATCCAGATATTTATAGACCACAAAAACCTTAAGTATTTGTTCACTCATAAAAAGTTGAATATGAGACAAAGGCGCTAGTAGGAGCTGAGGTTTAACCTACCAGCAGGAACATATAATAGATTGTACATGGAACAAGTTGTGAGATTGCATGTCATCCCAACCTCTATTGTGTCAGACAAAGACACGTTTTACTTCCCATTTTAAAGAAGTTTGCAAAAGGCAACGGAAACTCAGTTAACATTTAGTACACCATTCCACCCGACAAGCAGATAGAGAGAGTAAATCAGATCTTGCAAGTAGTTGAAACGAACATCTGCTTCTCATGGAATTCTCGTACGGTAACAGTAACAATTATAAGGCGACCATCGAGAATGAAACGTCCATAAAGTCCAAAAGATAGAGAAAGAGAGAGAGAGAGAGAGAGAGAGAAACAATAAAATAAGAAGAAGACCTTGGGCAAGAGATTAAATTTCAATAATAATACAATATTGCGAAAGCTGTGTGTATGGCCATACATTAATATACATAACACCACTTTTCCTTCTCCTTATCTCAACCAATGATCATAAAATTAGCGGAACATCATCTTCCTCCATCATCTCCCTCTCTAAATAAATTAATCATATGAGGCCCAAATCCCACCACCGCAAGGCTGCCGTCGCCGCCTTCCTCGCCGCTGCCCTCAAGCCCGCCGCTTATTTCCTCATCCTCTTGCTAACCTACACTCTCGGTTACCTATCATCCTCACCCTCTTCCACGTCATACTCCCCATCCTCTCCTCCTCCTATTATAACCCCTTCTTATTCAACCCCTCAATTCATCCAACTCACCGACACCCCGACAGAAATCCACCAATTCCGAATCAGAAACCGCTGTTCCCCTCCCCTCCCTCACCCACAGGTCCGCTTAGCACTCCTCCAAAAGGTCTTCAACGGAAAATCCCCATTCCTCAATTTCCCTCCGCCGCACGTGGCAGAGCTTCTCCACCCGAAGAAGATCAAGGGGTGGGGCTCAACCGGTGCCGTTTTTGAGAATCTTGTGAGACAAGTTAAGCCACGGACTATAATCGAGGTGGGTTCGTTTTTGGGAGCCTCGGCGACTCACATGGCTAACTTGACTCGCCAACTCGGCCTGGACACTCAGATTCTATGCGTTGATGATTTTCGCGGCTGGCCCGGTTTTCTCGACCGGTTCAAGGACTTATGGATGATAAACGGCGACGTTTCTTTACTCTACCAGTTCATGCAAAACGTGGTTGCTATGAACGCGTCCGATTCGGTTATCCCCTTGCCGTTCTCGACCGGTTCGGTTCTTGATAGCTTGTGCGAATGGGGGGTTTATGGGGACTTGATCGAGGTGGATGCGGGTCACGACTTTAACTCGGCCTGGTCCGATATAAACCGGGCTTACCGGATCCTCAGACCGGGAGGGGTTTTGTTCGGCCATGACTATTTTACTGCTGCGGATAATCGAGGTGTAAGACGGGCAGTTAATTTGTTTGCCCAAATCAATGGCTTCAAAGTCAAAGTGGATGGTCAACACTGGGTTCTTGTCTCTCATTAATCTTCTGCCACGTGTTCCTTTTTGTGTGTACAAAATTTGGCGTTTGAAAGGTCATAATTGTAATTTGAATAGCAATTGAAATGGGCTCAGGCTGTACGAGAATAAAACTGTTATTATTATTATTATTATTTTGTCCTTTTTGTTTGATTAAAATGATTGGATGAATGGCGAACCGAAGGTCACCGGCGACGGAGGACGACGGAAAGAATCGTCGGAAAATTATTCGGGAAGAGAAAGAGAATTGAAGAAAAGTTGCAGGCGAGTTGGGTGAAGGAGACAACCGAATGGGGTCGGTTTACCCAGCATAAGAGCCAACCCACGATCAAATTTCATTTCGGCCCAAACACGCGACCCAACCTGCTCGACCATCCTGATAGAAGCCCAAGGTGCTTGCAGCCCATAATCCCGAGGCCCACTACGACGACCCAGGTCAAAACCCAGAAGCCTCGGCCCGATAGCATGCAAGGCCCAATGTGTGACCCGCGTACTCGAAAGATGTGACCTGAGATCCATACCTTGACCCGTAATGCAACGCGCGACGTGTCAACTCTCAATAGCGAAACGTGTCGTGCATGCAGACGCCGAATCCTTCGTCTCACACGACGTCATCGGCTTGGCTCGACTCCGACGGCGGCTTGACGACTCGGTGACTCAATGGATTCGGCTTAAACGGCTCGACTTCTCGGCTTAGGCAGCTCGGTATACAAATGATATATTGTTTCCTAAGTTTTTTTCCCTCCTAAAGACATTTTTTGACCTTAATTAAGGCAATTGAGGTCTGTACAACATCCTATTACCAAATTCAAGTTGATTTAGGCCAGAAATGTGAGTGATTAACGAAAATACGATGGACGTTTGAATAGGAAACAACTCTCAACGTTGCTTGGAGCAACTTTGAGGAAACAAAATTCTAGTATACTCGAGTTTATGGAGAACGCCAGCTAAGGCCAACTATGTAAGTGACCTTACTATCGGCTCGATTGGAAGGCTTGCCGTATGTATGATGATATGTGCCTGGTGGTAGTGGCTATTTTTGCTTGATTATCATAATGACGTGTGATAGTATGATAATGCCATTTGATGATGATGATGATATAGTTTATGATGACTTATAATGTTATGATGACATTATTTGAATGATGATATAATGATTATGACGTAACGATGGTGCTGTATGATGTTATGAAAACGTTAATTGATGATGATATAATGAAGATGATACATTGATGATGATGTATGATGATGTATGATGATGTGATATTATGATGACGTTATGTGATGATGTGTGATATTATGATAACGTTATTTAATGATGATACAATGATGATGATGTATGATGATGTGTGATGTTATGATGACGTTATATGATGATGATATAATTACGATTATGTATGATGTTATGGTGACACTAATTGATGATGATGTAATGAAGATGACGTAACGATGATGATGTACGATGTTATGATGATGTTAATTGATGATGACATGATGATAATGTTATAATAAGAATGATGTAGGATGTTATGATGATGTACATGATGATGTTATGATGATGATATCATAATAAGAATGAGGTAGGATGTAATGATGATGGCGACATAATAATGATGATTTATGTTAATATGATGACGTAAGACTGTATGATGATGAGATGGATTAATATAACGTTATTCCATATCAAGATCACGTGCATGTTTTGAATGTCATGATGCATTATGACGATGATTTATTCTTCTAAGGACACAACCCTAATTGAAGTTGATGATGAACGTATGAAGACCGACACCTACATATTGCTTAGTGTAACATATGAACGGTGTATAAGGTTATGTCATGAAGATGATTTAAAGATGAAAAGTATGGAAACCTCATGCATCTTGTGTGTACATACACATCGGGATACTTCCCCATTTATGATGATGACTACAGACGCGTATGCTATGATGATGATCATCATGCCTCGCATGACACCCAGGGGTCTGCTGACTTCCGGATGTTGCTACAGACAGCTAGCTCGACTATGGGTCCAGTGGGTGCAAACCGCCTAGGGATCCACACTCACACGTGTGGGTCGTGTGTAGGGAAGTACTACACATCCAATTTTTGTTTGAACTAGAGGCTACCCCTATGATGGTTTTTAAATGATAGGTCCTAGATCATGAGTTGCATGTGTTTGCATTCCTTGACTACAATAGTGGGGCCACTTTGAGTATTTCTTAAAATACTTAAGCCGTGTGCTACTTCTTTTTCCGGTAAAGGCAAGGCATCCCTGTACGGTTGGCGATGACATCGAAATTCAAGACCATGGCACGTGCATAGGGTAGTTGTACTTATTTTTTTAGACTTAGGTTAGATTAGGGTCTTTTGGTTTAACGTTATTTATTTCATTTAGATTTTCGTTATGTTATTTAAAATATGTTTTCGAACACGTAAGTCAATGACAGTGTTTTAAGATGAAGTTTTAAATGGTTCATTCCACATATGATTATAGATGATAATGACGGTAACGACTTTAGACAAATAGAAATTTAGAATCGTTACAAATTGGTGATACGAGATGATGATCGTGGTCAACGATCAACCTACTTCATCTCCTCCACTATTTTGGCCTATTTTGACTTCCCCAAGTTCAATCTTTGATTCATTTTTAATAGTTTATCTATTAATGTAAGATCTTCCTAATAAATTTTGTGACATTGAGAGTATTAAAACCAAGAGAGAGAGAAAAAAAAAAAAAAAACTCTCGCCCAAATACGTAAGTAGTTATTTTGGATTTTATTCGAGAAATACTTGTAGGAATCGACTTGGATGTGTAATTAATTTTCTACACACGGTCTACACGTGCAAGTATGAACCCACCAGTTGGTTCGCACATCTCCTGGGCCCCTTTTTGGTCGGACAAGTATACTCTGGGAGCTATTGATGCCGGTAACTAGTTAGAGAGTAGCGACCGTCACGGATACACTATGTCAAACATAATGATCATTTCTCTGCCTAGTAGCATACACGTTCATACTATCGCGAAGGAATCAAGGTATCCCCTAATGCATGAGCCCACAATAATGCATGAGGTCCCTATCTTTCCATTTTAATTATCCTTAATACAACCCACTAAAATATTTTCATATCATAACGTTTTTCATACTATTTCTCATAACGTTTTTCATACCATTTCTCATATCGTTTATCATATCATTTATCATAACGTTTATCATAACTTTCATAAGTATGTCGGTGTATTTCATACTATTTTTCGTTTTTTTTTCATGTCAACCAATATCATATCATTTATGTAACATATAAGCCATATCATAACGTCTTCATGCTGGCAAACATAAAGATCCATATCATATACATATTATATCATATATCACAACAGTTACATAATATATTCTTAACACATCTTCAAAAAGATCATATCATCACATATCATATCACAAAATACATCAATTCATCAATATAGCATAACAATCACATCGAATAGCAGTTACATATCAGCCTATGACACGTGCGAAACCATGAGGACGTGTCATCCTACAACATTCAATTTGTAACCTAACGACGGTAGGGCCACGTGTCATCAAACTATAAGCATTAGATTTTGAATATTTATTTATTTATTTTGGTACTAAAAAAGAAAGTAAGGAATAAGTTAATAAGATATTGAAAAACTTGTTTTGTACTTCTCTTTGTTGAGAAAAGAAGGTTGAGTTATGAACTAAGATTAATAATCATCCTTAAATACTGTTTAATAACAAATTCTTGAAGTAACCCATTCATATAGATTAACCAATAAGTTGGGAATAGAACCATTCATTAGAATACAATCATTAGAAGTTTATAAGGAGAGAAGGCATTAGGGCACCCTATAGATTAGAGTAAACCCTATTCCTCTTCTTTGATGGTCACTTTTGAGGATACCCTTTGGCACTTTGGAACCCCTCTTTTCCCCTTTATTAGCTGTATGTTGCCCTTCTCTCTGAATCTGATGCTTTTCTTCCTCCTTCCCTCTCCCCTCACTTCCCCCCTTCATTTCTTTTCTCTTTTTCAACCTATATTAATTAATATCCTACTCTTTCGATTCCTCCGCTTTATATAATTTCTACCGAAACAAATCAATAACCACGACGTAACGATACAAGCTCACCACTCGCAGATATTGTCTTCTTTTAGCTTTCTTTTTCGAGCTTTTCCTCAAAGTTTCCACACTCTTATAAATAATACTTCGTTCTCCTCTCCAATCGATGTGAGATCTCACAATTCACCCCCCTTTGAGACCCAGCGTCCTCGTAGGCACTCGTTCTCTTCTCCAATCAATGTGGGCCCCCCAATCCACCTCCTTCAGAACCCAGTATTTTACTAGCACATCTTCTCGTGTCTACCTTTCAAGGCTCAGTCTTCTCACTAGCACATTGTCCCATGTTTAGCTCTGATACTATTAGTAACAACCTTAGGTTAATTAGAAAATTTAGGGTCGTAACACACTATTAATATCCAAATCTAATAACTTTATTTTAATGTTTTTTTTTTTGTTTTTGTTTTTAGTGTTTAAAAAGACAAATTGTGTATGGTTTTTATTCCTTAAAAATAAAAAAATAAAAAATAAAAAATAAAAATAAAGTTGTGTTAAACATGAAAATGGAAAAATTTGGAATAGTTGTTAAGAATATATTGAGGAGAAAACACTGAAATTCATAGAATTTAATCTGTTATTTGTTATTATTCATTTGTCAGCTTTATACAATTCTTTTCCTTCCACTATAAATAACTCCACACGTCTTCTTTCTCCATCACCCAATTCCTTCTACATTCTTTTCCATTCCTTATTCTCAATGGCCGGTCAAGTTCCTCGTCCATGGTTCCGTTTGGGCTCTATGACCCGACCAACAACCGCCACAACCACCGCTCCAGTCACCGACCAACCGCGACCTGTCCCCCCTCGGATCCGCCCGCCCTTAATCCGAACCTCCTCCTTGACGGAGCTTGCAGAACCCACCACCCCCCAGCAATCTGCCAAATCGCCGCCGCAGTTACCTCGCCTAGCCCCACTAACCCCTCAGCCGAAAAAGGAAGCGTCGCCACCGCCACCGCCCCCGCCTTTGACCCGACCTGTTGTTACGTCCACTGCAGCGCCAAAACCCAGTAGCCCCAAGGGAAAAAGTCATTCGCTTGGAGGGTCTCCGCCGCGCAATGGCTCGTTTGATAAAGAAAGTAATAAACATCCCACCCCAGCTCCGTCTCCTTCTATTCCCAAGTCTATTCCGGCCGTTCCATCGCCTTATCAGTCGCCGAAGCCGAAGCCTAAAGCCACCGCTTCGCCCCCGTCGCCGCTTGTTTTACCACCGCCGCAGTTGCAGTTTGTCGCCGAGCCTAGACCTGAGACCATTCCTCAAGAGGTAGTGTTAATTTAAGTTCATTGAGATTGGTGTGTTTTTAGCATTGGCAAACTTTTGAAAATCGAGAGTAAAAATAGTAGGTTTAATGGGTCGAGGATGGTTGGGAGAGAGCATCACGTTAGTTAATTTAGGGAATGACCGTGTGTTTATAAGCAAGGAATATGTCTTTATTGGTATGAGACATTTTAAAAACCATGAGAGCTTATGCTCAAATTCGACAATATCTTACTATTATGGAGAGTGGTGATTAGTAACATATGGTTTCAGAGTCATGCCCTTAGCTTAGTCATGTCAATAGAATTCTCAAAAGTCGAACAAAGAAGTTGTAAACTTCGAGGGTATAGTCAAAAGCGACTCAAGTGTCGAACAAAGGGTGTACTTTATTCAAGGATTCCAGAGAAGGAGTCAAGCCTCAATTAAGGGGAGGTTGTTTCTCGACTCCTCCCTGTAGTCATCGAACAAAGTACACCCTTTATTCGAGGGTTCGAGGGGAGGATTGTGGAGTCCCACCTTGGCTAATTTAAGGAATAATCATGGGTTTATAAGTAAGGAATACATATTCATTGCTACGAGGCCTTTTGGATGCTCAAAGTGAACCATATCTTACCATTATGGAGAATCGTGATTTCTAACATAATCAATGAACAGGTTATCTTACTATTATGGAGAATCGTGATTTCTAACATAATCAATGAACATGTTATCTTACCATTATGGAAAATCGTGATTTCTAATATAATCAATGAACATGTTATTTTATCATTATGGAAAATCGTGATTTCTAACATAATCAATGATCAGGTAGAACGAAAGACGGTTGTTTTCCAAAAAGTGATGGAGAAGCCTTCACCGCCCGATCACGATATCAATAACTACAATTCCCAAGCATCTGGATTTGGCAAAAATGGGAAGAAACATGATGACAATCAAGACAAGGGAAATGGAGCCAAGAAACCGTTCGTGTCGTCCGGTGATAAAGACTCGAGCACAAGAGTTATAACAATGGCAGGAGAAAACAGAGGAGCTTCCATGGAAGTAGTTCTCTCAGACAAAAACAACAACAGCCGCCATCTTCAAATAAATCAAAGCGACAACGGAGACACCACCAACGATTCTAAAGACAACAAAAGTAACAAGAAATCAACGGCGTGTCGAAGTGCATGGCCAATGAAAGCTTTCTTTAACAGCAATGTTCAAGGGATTAACAATTCAATTCTGATGGACTCCAAATTCACCCACCACGACCCTGGGATTCATCTTGTCTTCTCCAAGATGCCGCCGCCATCTGCCCATCAGGAAGACGGCGGACAATAACCAAGTTGTCTTTGTTTCCTTTGATTTGTGTCTCTAAGTTCACTATCATCTGTGTTTATTTCTTTAATTTTATCCATATGTTTCTTTGACAGAATAAAATATGGGAGTTAATTGGGTGTTATAGGGTGAAAATTCTGGTTTGTTAAAGTCTAGAGTAAGGCATATTTAATAAAATGTTATGACTTTTGTTCATGTATGGACCCTATTTTTTCTATTAAAATAAAATCACTACTCGTATAATATGTCTAATATGTTATTTTCGTAGTCTCTGGAGTGACACAGTCATCCGTACATGAGTGTTTACCTTTTCTAAAAAAAAAAAACTCAATAAATAGTCCTACTACTGGGTTCCGGAAATGCAATCACATGTCATCATGGTGGTCTATGTAGGGTTGGATATGTAGTACTTCTCTATACACGGTTCATGTACGCACACATGAACCCACTAGGAGTTCGTATACTTATCCCTAGGCCTGACTATGGGTTAGCGCATGCTCTTGCTTCCAAAAGCCATAGAGGGAAAGAGTGTATATCATGGTGTATTCGTTTGAATTAATCATATTGGAGAAGTATCACAATACTCGTGACAAACAACATACATGAGGTTCATAGCTTCAAATCGTGGTACATAATTATGATGCAAATCATATTTCTATTCTTTTCATGACATGATATTCCTAAGAGATCTGCATATATCCCCTCGATAGTTAACATATATGGTTTGTTAATGTTTCATAGGTATTTGTAATGCTATCATAATGTACCTGGATTTATATATGGAAGTACATGCATCTTATAACATTCATATCATAGCATATTCATCATATATTATATTATACATAACACACAATAGCATCTTAAAAATATGATACGTACAAAGGGCCACAGGGTACGTATCATTCATATAGCACAAAAGTCATTCAATTAATCTCTTGGGTGTCCAATAGTAAAATCACTTGGTTGGTTGGTCTAAGTTGAGAAGTCACTGCACGTTCTTAACGATGCCTTGAATCTACTCCTTGAAATCCAATTTCACCTAAGAATTCCTGCAACATCAAGTTAGGACATAATAAGCATCTTGACTTATCCAACAACCTCAATTAATTTAACTTTTGAATAAGAACATACTTTAAGTTGACTAAAAAGTAGTCATATTAACATTAAACTCAAGCCAGATAAGCGGAGTAAATTGAGTTAAAGCCACTAAGTTTAGTATAGCCGACGCGAGCTAATCATAGGAGAATCGGCTTAGTTGAGCCACAAGTGTGCTACACGTGGATCGCAATTTCGGGTCAACTCGTGGGTCAATAGGTCAAGGCACGAATCATCGGGTTGGTTTGGATTTCGAGCCAACTTGTATCAGTCCAACTCAAAGTCACTTTCGTCACGTTTTATGATCAGCTCATGTTGGCCCCGAGCAATCTACGCTATAGCTCCCTTAATCATCACTATTATCTCTGTTTGCTTAAAATCTGTCTGTACTCGTTGCTCTCATGTAATAATGGCTGATGAATGGGCTGTCTCCTTGTTGTCTTTCTACTTAGGACATCAACGAGCACATTCTCCTTCTAGAAGTAGTATTGGATGTCAATGTCATAGTCTTAACCAATTCTAGTCCCCTTCGTTGCTTCATATTCAACTCATAGTGGGTAAATATATACTTCAAACTCTTAAGTTTTTCAAAAAAAAAAATTTTAGTGTGGTTGGCATAATTTTGAATCATTTCCCCATATAGATAGTGCTGCAAGATTTTTAGTGCAAATACAACTATAGGTAACTCCAAGTTACGAATGGTGTAATCTTGCTCATAGTCCTTCAATTGACGTTATGCAAAGTCCATGTGCTACATCAATACATACTCAACCCTTTCTTGGAGATATCATTTAAAAAAAAAAAAAAAACCTCCTAAACTCTCTTGAACCATAAATATTTGGTCAACATTAATCTGTGTTTCAAATTTTGGAAGTTCGCTTCACATGTCTTAGTCCACACAAAATGGAACACCGTTCCTAGTCAACTATGTGGAGGCTATCTTAGCAAAGTTTTGCACAAAGCATCGAACTTGCCAATCCCAAGAAGCTACGTACCTCAATAGTCGTAAATGGATGGGCTCACTTAATGATTGTTTTCACATTTAAGGGGTCTACTAAAACCTCATCCGTTGACACTATATTTTCTAGAAATGAAATATGTTGTAACCAAAATTCACACTTAGAGAACGTAACATAAAAAATATTTTTCCTTAAACTCACCAGTACTCTACTAAGGTGTAACTTATGTTCCGTCTTGGAATACACCAAGACATCGTTTATAAACACAATAAAGAACATATTTACGCACTTTTTGAATGCTTGGTTTATCAACTCCATGAATACTATGGGAGCACTTGTGAGTCCAAACGACGTGACCATGAACTCATAGTGGTCGTACCTTGTTCTAAATGCTATTTTGGCACATCCCCACCCATATTTTGATCTGATAGTAGCTTGATCATAGGTCTATCTTGGAAAACCATATCACTTCTCTAAATTGGTTAAACAAATCCTCTATGCTAGGGAATACACTCGAGCATCCGAAGGAGATACGCTAGACCATATGAAACCCTTATCTAAAAAATCTTGAAACTACACCTCGAGATCCTTTAATTATGTCGATGCCATGCAGTACAGGGGCTTTAGAGATGGTTTAGTACTTAGCTCTAGCTCACTGCAAAAGTCCACGACATGAGGAGATGGTACCCTTAATAAGTCCACCAGGAATATGCACGGAACTCGTTTACCACTAGCATTGCAGATAGACTTTTCCTCCCTTTTTGTGTTTACCACGCTGGCGAATATGCCTCAGACTTATTGCTAGATTAACCTTTTTACTTTCAACATAAAACTACGACATTTTCTTAGAATCTAAAGGCTTGCTTGTACAGCAAGGCATAAGTGCTTTTCGCTTTAAAGATTAAAAGTTTTCACCATGTTTTTTTTCAAACTATTTGAAATGACAGTTCTTATAGTTTTTCAAGAAATACGAACAATAAGCTACCTTTACCTTGATGGGATACAAAATGGTTTAAGTATGATACAAGATTGTTATAAATAATAAATCGAATAATACTAAAAAAGTCAAAAAAATGATTCTTCCACATGGCCTACAATATCGATATTACTATCCCATGCATGAAAGTTGCCATAAAATAAACACACATATATGTATACATGTATGATAGAGATAGAGAATATTTTTAATTGGGACCCATTCAAATCTTCAAATATGAATACAAAAAATCAATAGATTCTCATATGTTTCATGTGCCAAAGGCAACCATCATACTAATATAAAAAATTAAATAATTATTTATATTATAAGAGAGTTGATCCAGACGATTCGACCAGATATATTTATTAAAAATGTTTGAAAAATATTTTAAAATATTATAATTACCAAACATTCAAACGAACGTGAAAATTATATTTGAGAATATAATTGTGTAGGAATATTAATTAAAATTCATTGTATATTTAGTGGAGGATTGTTGTGTATGTTCATAAGTTATGGGGTGGAACCATGTCTAGCTAAATGTGTTCACTTTGAATAAAAGTTATAGAAATTGGAAGAATTTTAAGTGTTTGATGCCATTCGGAATAAAGCAACTAGAAGCTTGCAACGACCCGTATGACAAAAAAAAATTATGCGAAAAATATTTATTAAAAATAATTCAACAAAATGATGTCACAGACTTGTACGTTTGCGCGAAAGGGTCTTAAAACAATATAAAGAAAATATTCAAAGTAAATTAAAATAAAACCAACCAAAATATTAAAAATAGCACTGCCCTCCCCTAATCTAAGATTTACTCAAATAAATAGGTTGTATGAGTCTCTTGCCTTTATCTGAAATATAAAAGTAGCATGTGGCTGGAGTATTTTAAGAAATATTTAGGAAATGACCCTACTATTGGGGTTAGGGAATGCAAACACATGCAACATGATTAGGATCTATCATTTAAAATCATCTCTGAGGTGACATTCAGTCGGGAAAAATTAGATGTGTAGTACTTCCCAAAATACCATCCACACATGCAACCTGGGCTTGCTGGGTGGGGGAGTACAATGACTGTCGTGCATCATGTCAAGCATGATGGTCATATCATCATCATAGTGTACGCATCCGTACTCATCATAAAATGAGAAGTATCCCGATGCATGTAAACATACAGTATGTATGAGATCCCGATACTTTTCATCTTAAACCATTCATGTGGCACAACCCTACACATCCTCACATATTACCCTAAGTAACATGCATGGATAAGCTTTCATACCTTACATCATTCATAATATTACTTAGAGTTGTGCATCAGAAAACTCTTCATTATCATACAAGTCGTAGCATGCTATACATTTTGTTGCCAAGCATATTCGTGCAACGTGGCAACTCATACATGCATATCATCGTAACATGAGATATCATCACAATGTATCATATCGTCATACATCTCGTGTCATCATTTACCATATTACATCCTCATAACATATCTAACATCATATCATATCATATCATCGTAACATACTACAGCAGCATAACATATCATATCATCATAACTATCACATCATCATAACATAAAATATCATCATAACACATTTATTAAAACACATGACACGCGTAGGGACTACTAGACACGTGTTATCATACATAAAACAATATTTCCAACCGAGTCGATAGTAGGGTCACGTACCTAATTAGCTTAAGCTCGTGTCACTAATTTATCTTTAATAAAAGTTCGATTATGTCATTTTAATTTCAAGTCAACCTATATGAGCCAATGATATCAATTTCAAATTCGAACTTCTGCCAAACTATTACTCTAATATAGAGTCCATATGTTAGGCTTTCATGCGAACATTATAGTTTTTCATAGAAGAATCTTCGAATGTTTATATATATTTATACATACATTTATATACTATCACAAGTAGTAAATAATAAGTAAATTATCGATTTACACAGAGTTAAAAGAATGATTTTCTTCTTAAATCAATTAAGAACTACAAGCTAAGATCGAAATGAATCGTGAAGGGTAAAGATCAAATCTTGTTAAGAAATATAGAGTGGGGCTTGTAATCTTATGCTACTGTACTTCTATTAATTATTACAACAAGGCTACGAATTGGTATATTTCTCTTCCCAAAACACTTGAGG